AAAACTATTGCTTTGATATCCTTCTCCTAGATCTGTCTGTTCTAAAGGAAACCAAAGCTGCAAAGTTGTGTACCTGTGATGTCATTTTGAAAGAGGAAACAGGGACTTCTAAAAGCTCAGTTGACAGAACGGAGGTTACAGTGATATACTTCGGCCCCTTATTCTCCTGTTATAATTAGTCAGAAAAATACACAAACTAACTTCAAGTGGGTATCTATAACTCGACTGTGTCTGCTGTCCATCTGCTCAAATTTGCATCTCATTACTTAAGTTGGTTCCGTTTAATTTTGAAGAGAAGATTATCTATTCTTGGTTTTCATAAACTTCACTCTTGAAGCTTTCTTCTCCATCTTTTCCCTCTTCTTGCGAGTCTTCTCATCCTCAGGTTCATCCTAAACGACACACGAGTACACGCCTAAATGAAAAGAGAAGACCAGACCGTGTTTATAAACAGAAAATCTTGTTTGATGAGGATAGATTACCTCTGAACCGTGTGACAATAAACTCTTAATTAAACCAGAAGATTTGTATACCCCAAATGCTGGAATCTGCAGAGCAACAGAAAAATGAACATCAAACAGAGTGGAGATGTGCCTATTTTAACTTGTTGGTCGCCTGACGAAGTATTTTGAACTTTCTAGTAGATGCATGAGCATTTGTTAATATAGGTAATAATGAAAATATTGTTTAGATGTACAACTAAAGTCATTTCAGAAAGATATATCAATGACATTATTTCACACCCAAATATCAGGGTTGTTCCTAGGCTATATATTACACTAAATGTCTAAGTTCAATTTCAAAAGTATTTGGACCTTACCACAAGGTAGGTGTACCAAAACTTCCCAGAGAGGATTGACATTATTTGCACAAAGCTCGTAATGTAGATCACGTCATGCATGTAGCTGCAAAGAACAAGGCAACCCATCAAAGATGTTTCAATTACTTATTGAAATGCCAAGAAACTGTTTATGGATGGAAGCCTCCGAGACCAGTTCTGTCAATCCAATTCTCACTACGGCAGCGGTAATTGTTCTAGGTGAATCTTTCACCCAATGTCAGTGCCGTGAGGTTTCAAAGAACTTGTAGCCATATGAACATATTGGTTCATAATTGGTCTAACTTTGAAGTCAATTACTTTATCTGTCTAATAAAAAACAAAACAAAGCTCATTTTGCTATAATGAGATTTTCTAAGTTGGAATCCCAAAGAAATTACCATATAAATTACCAAAGCACATAAGAAACAACAAGTTACGAGATAGATGGCCTTAAATCCGACCCAGCCTACATTACATTGTATTTCAGTCATTGAAGTTCCTGCCCTTCCTTCAGAGGAAAAGGCGGTGCTACTTGAAAATGTAACACATTTTCAATTCTGAGATATAGTTAAATTTAGCTATGTTTACGACACTGACTATGTCATCTTAAAAACTAGAATCGCCTCATTGAAATAATTTTAACTCAATCTCTATAGTATCCCAAGTCCCACCAACCTCCTACAGAACCTCTTAATTTTATGTAAGGTCAAAAAACGTTAGCAATGGATTTATTGTCTCTTTGAGGATGAAACTAACACATCAATTGATCAAAAGTAATCAGTGGAGCACTGCCATTTCCAAAAAGAAAAAATTAACCCTATATCATTTAAGTTTCAAGCTTGCTTTGATGTTTATATCTAATTTGGAATTTTCTCAAGGAAGAAAATTGAAAAATAACCCAGTATAGCGATAGACCAAACAATCGTGGCATTCATGTGCATTGCCCTTATCCAGACTTATTAAGCCAAATGACAAGTATACTAAATATCAATTTACAATGCTATAAATGAAAATCAATTTAAGTCATGAAATCCAGGAGGAAAAGGAAATTATATCCAGAGAGTGAACATATCAGTGCATCAAGCCATCAATTGCTGCGCATGAGCATCCCTAGCAACATCTCCGCCATGTCATACAAGCTAGGAGGGAAAGCAAACCCTCTGAAGCAACCCAAGGTTGAGAAGAAAGATTATAACGAGGTTGATATGGCCAAAATTCAAGATGAAGGAAAAGGAAAGACGCTCAGGGAGTTTAGAGCAAAGGCCCAACAGAAGGGGACCTTTGGAGATGCTAGGCTTAAGAAGAGTGGGACAAAATGAGAATTCCGTCGGATTACTTGAGCTGAAATTGCAGACGTCTGATGTCTTTTTAATCAATTGATTGTCTGACATGTTATCCTCGGTGAATCAGTGAATCCGATTAGCACATCACTATTCACCTCCATTTCAAGCATTTAATACTGAATTTTGGGATGACAACCAGAGAAAATAGCTTCATGTTATCCTCTGTGAATCAATGAATCCGATTATCAAATCACTATTCACTTCCATTTCAAGCATTTAATACTGAATTTTGGGATGACAACCAGAAAAAAATAGCTTCATCTTCCTCAAGAAATTTGATCCACGGTGAACAATATATCATACCAAGTCTTAGCAAGTTTCAGAGCTACGGTTCATTTAAACTTGGGTTACAGAACAATTAAATATGTCAGGTCTGTATTCAACAATTATACTCTATATCAAGAAGACAAAAACATGCATGAAACTGACATGTAATGACATACATTAAGAAGACAGAGGACATACCCACAAATTCCACCAGTACTCATATCAAACCCACCATCTAGAAGTTCACCGTCATCACCATATGTTGGGTCTGCCATTTTGGCAAGTTGGTTGTAAGGAATAAAATAAGCTGCGGATGTGACAATCAGACCAACCCAGTGTTTCCAAGTGAAACTTGAATGAAAAATCAGCATTCGAACCAAGATATAGATAACCTGCACAAACAAGTTACACACAGTAAACAGCATAACACTGAAGTCATACCAGTTCCACTAAGCCACACGGCGCTCCTACGCTTTATGAATCATGGTTACGGTAAAAATAAATGATATGATGAAGCATCGGGATATGCTCAGAAGGGTGCTTATTCCTTTGACAACTCTTAGGATCAAAATTAGTAATCCAAAAGAAGAATTTACCATACAAAACAAACTCTGAACTTAGTGCATGAAACATAAAAAATATAAACTAATTCTCCATCCTTCAACTTTTGGTCATCTCATATTGCTCTGAAGAAATCACAAGATTTTCCTCGACCTTACATTATAAGTGTCTCATGCACATTTGTGATACCTGTCAGACTTTAATTTACAGTCTGATTTGGAGAACATACATTTGGGGATTTTTACCCAAGAGAACAAATAAACAAATAAAAACTATCTTCATTCTTTGTTTCCAACAGAATCGTAGTATTAGAAATTAATATGTTAAATTAAAACTTTCAGCCGATGGACATAGGACGTAACAGTTTGTTGTTTGTTTATGAAACATGCACCTCATCCTACAATTATTTCCAGCTCGGAATTCCAAGTCAATTTGAGAAAATGAAACGTAAGGTGTGAGATCAAACAAAAATCAATCGATTTTGATTATTTCGAGAAGGAGCTCCAGAAGATTTTATAACAAGAATATTCAATTATTAACATTGCGACACAACCAATTGTTGCTTCATTACGAAAAAGCACATCATCCTACAATGATTTCCATCTCGGAATTCCAAGTCAAATCTCCAAAAGAAAAACACATGATCCAAAGGAAAAATCGATTGATTTTGACTACTTCAGGTTAGAACTCAAGAAATCTTCTGAATACTAAATCACTAAGGACGGATGTAAGAGTGAAGAAAATTTAGGAGAAACTATCGAATAGAAGTGCGTACGTTACAGGCTATGATGAGACGACGGAGATTTGCCATATGACGAGCGTTCTCTTCCTTGCGCTTCTTTGCTCCTTGATTTGCCATCAATGTCGGCTCGATTTCGAAATTGTTTGGTGAAATTGCAGCAAAATCTTGCTCAGTTATGGCTGGGTATCTGAATGATCCGAAGAGGAGGAAAGAACAATGAGGCCTCTGATTTCGGCTTCACGTGTAAACCGGGGATGGTCGGTCGAATCCTAATCTGCTATTAAGAAAAAATGAAATAAACTTTTAAGAAATTATTTTTTAAAAAAAAAAAAAAAAACCCTCAAATTATATATAAATAATAATAATAATAATAATAATAATCCTAACTACTTTCGTTCAAATTAGATCTTTTATAAAAATAAAAATAAAAAAAAATAAAAAAAAAATGTTTGGTTCAAAAATACTCCTTAAACTTTTTAAAATTACATTAGGTACCCTTAACTTTTAAATAAAAATTAAAAAAACAATACTGTTTAATGATTCGTCTCCGTTTATTACCTAAATATTTTAATAATATTCTATGTTAGAAATTGAGTTTGTATATGCAGTTTGAATTTAATATATAAAAAAAAATTGTAACAAGGAATTCTTGATTTTTTTTTTTTTTTTTAAAGTTTAAATTAGGGTATTTGAAATATTTTGGGATGAATTTAACGTTTCGAATATGTCCATTTTATTTATAGATATATCCGTGGAGACGGGGAATGAAGTAGGGAGTGGAAAACATTTTTTCCTAGGACAGTATTATATTCTCTATTTCCGTCCTTGCTCAATTCCCGCATAAATGAACCGGGAATATTCCCTATCCCCATCCTTGCCCAATTCCCGCATAAACGAACCGGGAATATTCCCTATCCCCATCCTTGCCCAATTCTCGCATAAATGAGCTGGGACAATATTATATTTTCTATCTCTATCCTAGCTCAATTCCCGCATAAACGAGCTAGAACATTATTATATTCCCTATCCCTGTCCAATTCCTACATAAACGAGCCAGGACAATATTATATTCTCTACCCCCGTCTTTACATGCCGCTTAATGTATGTATTTTCTGTCTATATTAAAAAAAAAAAAAAAAATTATTGGTAAGGAAGTCAATTTTGTCCCAATTTAAATTTGAATTCATCTCTGCTAATTCATCTTATATTTTTAACAAATAGAGAGGTAAAATCTCTAAGAATTCATTGATATCAATTAAGTCAAAACTTGCACTAATTAAACTCACAAATCACCCTTAAACTAAACAATCACAAGGTACAACCAACAAATAAGGTAGCATGCATGGGAAACACAGCAGCAATTTGCCGTCTGAAAGATCAAAGTAAAAACTATACCCCCAAATTTTAACACTACCATCAGTTATATTCATTAAATCCAGGAATGAACGACGCCCGGTACAAACGGGTATCGATTTTTATTCTTTTTCCGTATACTTTTCTCTTACCATCGACGTCGTAAATACAAATTGGGTAAAGCCAAGCTATTGTTGGAATGAAATCGAATAGGAACCAGTATTTGGGTCTTTGACAGCCTTGAAGTTGTCCACGCTCATGCCAAAACGACCCAACAAAGAATTGCCCATGTCTTTTAACTTTCCTGCTCAAACAGAAGCATTGCAAATTCATGAATAGGGGCAAAAAATATCGACTTAGAGGACGAAGTAATTGTTCGAACGACATCCAATGTGTATTCACTCGTCTAGATTCAAACGTTGCTTAATGCACAAAATGCAGTAATTACAGAGTTCAAAGTTTGTTTAACATAAAGATCATATATGTAAAAAAAGTTAGAATGAAAAAACTCGATTGGCTCTGCCATGGTTCTTTGTTAGCGCGTAGCAACATCCATCGAGAAATAACGACTACTTCGCATGCATGTGGCTAATCTTTGAACGGTAGGGAAGCAGATTCTAAAACAAAGAATAGTGAAATACAATACCGAAAATACTTTCAAAACAGTATAATGCCGCGTACCAATCATCTCTTCTTTCATCTTTTCTCGTTTTTGTTCGGCTAATGGTTCAAGGCGACGGATGGCCTTCTTAGCTTGGTCATTTGATGAGTCCAATTCCAATATCTTTTTCATATCTGTAAATAGATAAAATATATGTTGGAAGGAAGATTAATACAACAGCTCCAGAACAAAATGGAAAGCCTTAAAGAAAACAACTGCAGGCAAGATTGACCATTTTAAGGTAACATAAGCAAAGCAAAGTTTACCATGAATGGCCTCCTCAAAGTGTTCAAGCTTCTCGTGAGCCTCTCCTCTTCTAGACAAAGCTTTGACATATGCAGGATTGATTTCAATTGCCTTTGAGCATGCTTTGATCGTCTCATCATATTTTTCCTTAAAACAAATTATGTTCAAGATAATCACTACGTGATACAAACATACATTATCCTGCTGATGAGAAGAAAAAATGCATGTGGAATTAAAGCAAAACCTCACAAGAAAGGTCTAGATTCAATCCATCTTACTTGAAAATGGAAGCAAGCGAACAAATTAAGTTCACAAGACAGCCAAAATTCAGATGCATGAACTAAGAAGTTAAAATATACATGCATAATATTAATAGTTAGTGACAAAGGAGAAATTTGAGGCATGTGAACAGAACAAATTAATCCTCGAGGCCTTGGCTTTTTGAAGGATCATAGTTTTCATGCGATAGCCCTCCCGACTTCAATTCATTTATGTATTTATTTTTAATGGGTAAGAAACTTAGATATTGAAATCATTAATGCCGAGGGTAGACGAGGCTTCTACTTGAAATTGGGCAAAAGTATTCCAACAGACCTCCCCAAGGCAAAAATCACAGAGTAATTATAAAATATTTGTCCATCACCCCCCAAGAAGCAGCAGCTAACAGTATCCTAGAAATAATAGTAGCTTATATCTATCTCGATTAAGAGTTTTCAATTCCTTTCTAGCCCGAAGACTAGGCATTAATCAGCAAAGTCCAGAGAACCTACACAACGAGTCTGAAAGGATGACCACATGATATCAGAAAAATTCAATCCTTCACATGGAGAGGTGATTCAAATTTGTATTTTCAGGTCATTCAAAAGCTTCTGTTTACAATTTAAAAGATGGAGGAGAGAGAAAGAAACAGCATATCCCCCAAATTAATCAAGGTCTTCAAAAAACTGCACATGTTCATATATTTGTGAATGGGAATTTTAATAAATCACTATCTTTCTGGGTTGGTGATTATTGAAGCCACTCATAATAGCCTCAAGATTAACAAAAACTGAAATTGGGACTAACAACAGCATCCATGTAGAAATTAAGCATGCTACCGTAAGATCGCATAGATCACTAAAATTGGACATGTAACCCTCTAGTGACATTCGTAAAGACATTGAAAATATGAATATGGCTATAATGCATAAAAAATGAAGAAAAATATCTAAACAAGATAACACATGGTAGTCTTTTTCAATTTCAGATCTAACAAAGACATACTAGTTTCAGAAAACACACGCCACGGTTGGCATGGCATATGGACCGTAACTCCGCTGCAGAGGGCATGTCCGGAGCAATGTTCAAAGCACGATCATACTCCACTATTGCTTCCTCATATTTCCCTTCTCCAAACAGTTTATTGCCCGCCAACTTTGCATTATTTGCTTCAGCCAAGGCTTTCTGCCAGATATGTAGTAGAAGGATTCAGTAAATGAACCAAGAAAATTTTAGGCTTGCATAAAGGACGAACATATCATGACAATCACAAAATTTTAATAGCTTAGATATCCATTTACTAAATTACTTATTTCTAGATAAAAGAGACCCATTTCTCATAATTAGAGAGGAGGGGGGACAACGATTGAGCTGCATCAGAATTATGTCGGTAGGTCATGTTATCGCAACCAACAAGGAAAATCAAGATCCTAAACAAATCACAATCTGTCAACAGGTCCCTTGGCTCCATCAAAATATCCACGACTTAAAATTCCCTGCGACTTTCAGAACGGATTTTTCTTATCGCACACGAAAACACAAATCAACTGTCCGTGATATGAAAATCAAAGCGATATGAAAACAATTCATTTTCGTACATTCATCAATTCTCATTCAAACATTTAAATGTAGAACCAAAATCGCCAGCAGAGTAAATGATTCATTCGTCGAACATCATTACAGTCCAGGTTAAAGTTGTAGGCAACTTCAAATAAAATTGGAATTGGACAAGGGGAAAAACAACACACGAACTACTTTTAAAATGGATACCAGAGAAATTGAATCATTAATGTTATCGCCGATAATGCTGATCGCAGAAAGCAAAAGAAACCAATCGCCAAGCAAAAAAAAAAAAAAAACAGCACTAAACAGAGCTCAGAGGAGGGAAAGACCTCTTTAATCTCATCTTCACTTAGCGCGGCAATTTGTTCCTCGTGTTCTGGATGTTGTTCAGGATGCTGTTGATTCTCATCACCACTATCACCAAGCTCCCCATCGCTGGCAGTCTCGTAGCCATCGGAAGGTTCTTGGCTCGCACTAGATGTTGACGGAACACCGCTTGAATCCGTCGTTTTTTGGGTTGATGCAGAGGCCTTCGGAGGACTGGGAACTTCGTCCTCGGATTCCTCCATTTCTATCCGAACCATTTTCACCCACGATTCAACAAAATTCTAAGATTTTGAAACGATTTGGTTCTCAGATTCTGGGTTTTAGGGAGAGAAGACGAGACTCTGCGTTTATAAATTTGTTGGAAGAACCGAAGACATTTTCATTCCAGAAGCCTCTTTATAGATTCTTTTTGGACTTCGGGCCTTTCAGTGTTCTTTATTAGCATATTGGGCTGAGTAAGGCCCAAGTTTACTTTTTCTAGGCCGTGTTCTTTAATAGTATATTGGGCTAAGTTAGGCCCAATTTACCTTTCTTGATTTAGGCAAAGTGAGAGCGAGGGTTGCAAGACGAGTGTCTTAGACAACTTTATTTGAAATGAATTTTTTAAGGATCGTGTCGGATGGCACTGAAGTGCCAACATTGCGCCCTGCCCCATTTATCGAAAGTTGGTATATGCACCCGCTATTTGGTACAAAGTTCGTAAATGATTTGACACAGACACGAGAGAGTCCAATACCTCGATAGAACCCAGATAGATGAATATTCGGGAGGCCTCGATGAGATGAACAATACATGGGACCGTTTTCGATAGACATGTCTAAGTAAGCTACGGATGATCGATGATATCTTAGGACTTGAGATGATATCATGACATGAAGATCATGTGATTGGGAATCTAGATGACATAATTGAGACTCGACGTGCACAAGAGAGACCTTGGGCCTAGTAGAAGCAAGGTCAAGTCAAATAGCTTGACTTAGTATAGAGTCAAGTCAAACGAAGTCGCAAACGATTGAACATACATGTACGAGCGCACGTATATAGTCGAACAAACCTGGATTCTACACGAGTTGTGTTCTGTTGGTGAAGACAAACCTCACATAAGGTTCAACAAATCCATAAAGACGGACGGAAAATGTATACAGGATTTGGATTTCCCTAAAAACTTGTAATGAGTGTGTCAAAATAATAATGTTGCACGGTTGAAAATGTATGACTGTGACACTTGGTTCACAGTCAGCAAACTACTTGACTAGCAATCTCACTCTACGTTGTTCCCAATCCCGTTCATGTGCACGCTACTGATTACTCGGTGTCACATGCTACTTCTCTTCTCATTCTTAGTTACACTCGGGAGGAACCGAACAACCAAATTAACTATTCTAAATTGCTTTTAAACTCGATAGCTTAACCTAACTCGAAAATAGAGTATTGGTGCGTGTGGAAACAAATCAACATGAAATTTCGTTTGAAAAAGTTTTCTCATTCCAACTGTGTACACACGCTACTTCTTCCCAACTCTCTTGTGCACTCGGCTGGAGCTTCAATTTCGTTTCATTCTCAGTTTTCCCTTCAAATCCTCTCCTTCGTTTATGGCAACCGATGAAGCTCCTTCCTCCTCCATGCCCGTCGACGCCGGCGCTGCTCTTAATCCTCCTCCTTCCTCCGACATAGCAGCTTCAGCTTCTTCGGCTATTGATTTTCTCACCCTCTGTCAGCGCCTCAAGGTAACCTTAAATGCTGCCATTCAAACAATGCATTTTCTAGTTTCAAGTTGTTTGATGGGTGGTGTCCTCGCTAGAAATGTGAGGGAAAGGGATACAAAAATGGAACCAGAGTTAGTGGAGTACTGAAACTTTTGGGGGGTTTAAAGCATTCACCAATTATATACGGTTTATTGTTCTCCTGTTTAAATGCTGGGGTCTGAATTTCTCCTATTCATTAATAGCTTGATGGTCAAAAAACTAAACGGAAATCTGGTTTGTGTTATTCACTTCCCAGTTTTTAAGTATTGCTGATCATGCCATTTTATTTCAATCTGAATTAGACTACGAAAAGAACTGGCTGGGTTCGTAGAAGAGTCAAGGATCCGGAATCCATAGCAGATCATATGTACCGAATGGGAATAATGGCGCTCATTAGTTCGGATATTCCGGGCGTCGATAGAGACAAGTTTGTTATTCCTAACATTTTATGATCAGCTCTTATGATTATGTTTCACTCTTCATCATTGTCGTTGTTTTCGGCCCCTTGTACTGTTGTGTGGAAGGTGTTTTGATGCTATATTTATGTATATCTTCAGGTGTATAAAAATGGCAATTGTACATGACATTGCAGAAGGTGAGTTATAATTTCTTGTCCCTTCCTTTACTGTTTTATGTTTCACTGTCATTTGGACTTAATTAGCCTTACAAGAGACGGTGATAACATCTTTTGTTTAATGTTGGATTAGAACGATATTGATACTGCCTCGATATTTTTCTGAAACAAACTTCATGTTCTTGGGCGAGATAAATATATAGTCTCGAAAAGGATTAGAAGTCAATCTATTTGAATTGTTGGGACTGCTGTTATTAAATGAAAATTTTCCATGACTTGCACATCATTTGAATAGCAATTGTTGGTGACATTACCCCATTTGATGGGATTTCAAAGATGGAAAAGAGTAGACGAGAACAAGAAGCATTAGACCACATGTGCAAATTGCTTGGTGGTGGTTCAAGAGGTATGCCATTCAGTCATTTATTTTGAGGTTCAAGGGTATGATAGCTCTTATGGCTTTGCTTTTGGTTACCCAAAAGACCTCACTATACTAATAGAGATAGTATTCCCCACTTATATACCCATGATCCAACAACTCTCCCCTTCGAACAAAGTACACTATAAGCCTCCCCTTATTAATCGAGGCTCGACTCCTTTCTCTGGAGCCCTCGAACAAAGTACACCCTTTGTTCGATAATTTAGTCACTTTTGACTACATCTTCGAGGCCCACAATTCTTTGTTCGACATTTGAGGATTTTAATCGACATGGCTAAGTTTAGGGCATGACTCTAATACCATGTTAGATGAACACGACTCTCCACGTTGGTATGATATTGTCCACTTTGAGCATATGCTCTCATGACTTTGCTTTGGGCTACCCCAAAAGGCCTCATACCAATGGAGATAGTATTCCCCACTTATAAACTCATGATCTTCCACTAAATTAACCAATGTGGGACTCACTCCTAATAATCCTCAACATTGTCTGCCAACACCTTTTTCTTATAAAAATATGTGTGAATATTGCAGCCAAGGAAATCGGTGAATTGTGGATGGAGTATGAAAATAACAGTTCACCAGAAGCTAAAATTGTGAAGGATCTTGATAAGGTCAGCTACGTAAGCTTAGGAAGTTACGTAACTAAGCTCGATGCTTAATACTTGCTATGTTTTTTCTCTTCTTGACCCGGTGCTGTTTTTTTTTTTTCTGTAGCTCTTTCAAACAAGCATCTTGCACATATGCTATATGCACTTTACACTATAATTATATCATTTATAAAATTATTGATCAATATTATTTATTCTAAAAATGGAAATGCTAAGATAAATAAATTCTCATCTACCTTAGCTGATTATTATTGGCAGTAGACTGTGAAGTTAGCTCATAGCCTATAATGGATAAAAAAAGTAGCTGGCAGCTGTAGCAGTAGTTGGTTGATTAAAATTTGTGTAAGAAAAATAGGATAGAATAAGATATTTTTATTTTCCCATTCGAGGATCGTTGAAATGTATTTAACAGTGTGACAAGGCAGTATACATGGTAGGTGTATTTGAGAATTATGCTTGATAGCAAAGAACTTCTTGTTTGATTCTCATCACGGTTAACCTTTATTTAATTTTTCATGGTTTTCTACAGGTGGAGATGATTCTTCAAGCTCTGGAATATGAAAATGGTCGGTCTTCTTTTCCTGACATCTATTAAAACATATTTTTTCTTGTTTGACATATTTCTCAAAAGCAGCTGCTTTCTTTAATGGATAGTATATGTCAAATTTGAAAGGTTAAATATGAGAGGAAACTACAAATTTTGTTATGACATTTGTATGACAAAGTAACAGCGCTTTGTTGAAGTCTTTAAATCCTATTGGCGAGGATGATTTTGTACTCATTCCTCCTTCATATTTATAGCCGGTTCATCTCATAAACTACATCCATCAAGAATAGCATGAAACAAGGAGAAATAGCAGATTTTCTTTCCCACATTTGTGGAACTATCAAGAATCTTAGCTAAGATCAACAGGAGGTTTTGTCTTGTACTTTGAAGCATAGCAAGGCCGAATACAAAGGGTAAATAAAGGGCTTTTAGGTTGGAAGGGAAGGCATGAGTATCAACCACCTTCAATCTACCTTCAATCTGTGGACGATGTCATCTTCTTCTCTGATTTGTCAGATGTCTCCTCCATAAAAAAAAACATTGGATAAAATATCTCCAAAAAACAAATATTATGGGTTGGCATAAAAATTATCAAAGACCTTGCAGGAGATACGATTATAAAAAGGGTTAATGGCCGAATATGTACCTAGGATTACCCTTAAACGGGACCACAAATCCCTTTCATTCTGAAAGACCATTATTGAAAAAATAGAAATAAGATTATCCACATGGTCATCATGCTACACTTCCAAAGGCGGAAGGCTCTCCCTAATACAAGCCACATTGTCTAACCTCCCTTGTTACTATATGTCTCTGTTTGAAAATTCCACAAAAAATGGCTACGAATATGGAAAGATCAGAAACTTTTGTGGAAAGATGGTCCACACCTTGTTTGATGGAATATCATAGGCCTCCCAAAAGAAAAGGTAGGACTTGGTCTATTTTTGATAAAGGAGAAGAATAAAGATCTTCTTGCAATCACGAAGAAAGCCCATTGGGAAGAAAACTTATAAAGGTCGAATATACTCCTACATCATATACAAATTGACCCTCTTCTTCTTCTGAAAAGGGGCCATGGAAAAAACACCAAAACCTCATCACCAGCCGAATTCTCCATAGGGTGGGTGATGGAGGAAGCACATCTTTTTGGACCGATTCCTCAATTGGAAACATCATGCTAGCCTTGCGGTATCCACTTCTATATAGACTCTCTCATAGCAAAATGGCCACGATCCAAGAAATATGGAATGATGTCAACAAATTATAGGACGTGAGGCTTGGTAGGAACCTAAAGGGTAACGAAACTACGGAATGGGATGAATTAAGCCTTGACCTCGCCCCAGTTGTATTGTCTAAAGAAGCAGACTCTTGACATGCTTCCTAGTCATGACAGGGTCTTCTCTACAAAATCTTTGATGATGAACCTAGGGAAAAAAGTAGGTGCAATAAAATT